TGTTTAACTCTCTCTAATCCTTACATTGCTCTACTAAATTCGCTTTCCAGGTTTTACCTGGCTTCACCAGCCTACTTATTAATATGTATATTAGAAGGTGTAAATGTGAACCTAAAATGTATTAAATGGTTTGTTCTGTGCTCTTGGGTCCAGCAAGTTTGTGCAGGACGACCTGCCTCGCTCCCCACATTGCATTAAACAATATCTTGCTGTTTAAAGATGTAAAGTCTCTGAGCAGTTTTCTTATTCCGAGGTTTTTCGGCATCAACAGAAGGAGACCAAGTTGGTCAAGCAGGATCTGCCTTTCTGCTGGCTGGTCCTGATCCCCAGGTTGTCCTGTATGTGCCATGTGATGTCACTCAAGATGATCTGCTCCATGACCTTCCTCAGTATAGAAAGTTATTACTGCTACTAAAGTGCACGATTTTTTAAATCATTATTTTCAAAGCTAGCTTAATAATTATAAAGGAGAGACTGATGCTGCTCACCCATACTTATGACCGTGGGCAAATCTCTTTCAGTCAGCCCTGAGGATAACCTTAAGAAGCATCCCTACTTAGATGACGAATCTCTACACACGCTCCTAGAAGGGGTGTGCTAGAAATCCTTGCCATAAAAAAGAGGGCTTGGGCTTTTATAGGATAAAGTGATTGACCATCAGTACTGTGTTGTTAGGCTGGCCATGCTAGCTTAGCAGAATAGTTAATTTAAAATAAGTTATTAGTACTACCACTCACTGGTTCCTCTATGAGGAAACACCTGCCAGGAAACTGGTTTCTTCACATCCTCATATTGTTTCATTTTGTGGTGATTTAGTCAGGCTGGTCTTGGCATTCTTCAACACCGAAAGCAGCATGACCTTCATCACTGGCAACTTTTGCAAGTAGGGTGATGTTCAAGCTGTTTCACCCCTACTTAAATAGAACATCCTGCTGCGCTTCCATGTTTCCAAGTTTAGTACTTATGTTAAAAATCTGAAATTATGTTTCAATAAAGATGTTTGAGGCAGGACTACTGCTACAGATTTCTACTTATCACACTTCACAGCAACAACAGTGAAGTGTAGAGAAACGAGGAAACGCTTCAAATTCTGAATGTGCCTTAAAACTTGGAGGGAGCTTGGAAGTTCTGCAGTTGAGAAATTAAAATTATGTAATTCAATTTTAAAACTTATTCAGAGACGGCACAAAAATCAAAAAACAAAGAAAAGGCACTTCATGGCATTTGGCAACTGATCCACAGTCCCACAGCTGTAGAATTGCAGCCAGCAACAATGCCACAAGTGTCACAGAAACTGTGGTCAACAGGGCAAGAGGAAAGAGGTCATTCTTCTCACCACGAATGACATAATCCAGATAAACACCATGCCACATACCAACAACCAGAACCGCTAGATACAGAAAAATCTGAATTTGTCATAAACAGCATCTAAACTACTCTCAAAGAGATTATTCTGAAAGATAAAAGTGAATTTTCTGCAAGCACTATGGACTCCAGGCATTTGGAAGAGCCATGCTTCAAAAGGAATTTTAAAATTCTAGTTCCCCATGATACCAAGCAACATATCGACACAAACAAACGAGATGTCACTGCTCAAAACAAAATGAAATCTCCAAGACTGTATTTGATTGCTTGATGGTATCAACCAAGCATTTATTGCTTACACTTCTCAGGGAAAAACTTATGACAAACAGCTGTAAGCCTGAGAAAGTAATTTTTAACAGAAAAGCAAAACATTTGCAGGGAAAAGGCATTAATAACAGAGACAGGATTCATCAAATTGACCAAATATTCTGTTCAGAAATCTACAGATGAAAGTTCTTCTAATACTACCATCAGACTCCTTTATACAGGAGTATCCCTGCCTCTACAGTATAGCTCATGTATATAATTGAAATACATACCTGTATACATCTATAACTCATGCTTTTCTAGTTTTGAGTACCATTATGATGGAAGAGGTCAGCCAACAATGAATCAGAGTCAAAAGTTGCTGCTTCTTGGATGGACTGACTTTTATTTTAGAAAATGCCTACACTTCTCTGCTACAGCTGCAAATTTTCTACTTACCATCAACACTTCACAGAAACAACAGTGAAATTTAGAGAAACCATGAAACATGCTTCAAACTCTGGAGAATTTTCAAGTTCTAAGGTACATTTAAAGAACTGTCTTACACCTCCAGTAGTTGTAGACATCCCCTTTTAAAAGTACTGCTCCCTTATTATTCAACACCTAATGACTACTAATTGGAGAAAGGTTTACAATGGACATACAGAATACTGGCTGAACTGCATTGAATTTCAGCCATGGGGATTTCCCACATACTAGAAGAGCTCTTTGGTATATTTGCATTTTATGGAGATCATTTATACCTAAGATGAAGGTATATGACTAGCTTCAAGATCACAGAAGTGTTTATAAGAAGTATAGCTTCTCTGGTGAGTGATGAAGTATCCTGTATATGTAAGCTACATTATCAATTCTTCCATTAAATGAGCTTCCTTGCAATTCCTTTAAGTATAAAATCCTACAGCTTTTTCGCTCTACATTTCCACTGCCCATTGCAGATGCAAAACTGTTGAGAATTAAAACAGAAACACAAATGATAGTCAGAAACATCCTAGTAACATCTAGCAATCAAACGTGTGAAAAAATAAAAATCCATTCCCTGTCAGCAAAGGGAAAGTATTAAAGTTCTGTGAAAAACTGTGGCTGTAACAGTTTTAAGTATAGCCTAGAAAGACTTGAAGTAATTAAGACAGGTTGAGAAGCTGACATTTTCCCCAACCCTACACTCTTCCTCATTTCTACATCTTCAGTTGCACCAACCAATGCTACTACTTGTGGTGCTTCAGGGTGAACCAGATTAGACAATAAAACAGCTTCCACAATTTCACTTAAAAAAAAAAACAAACAAAACTTACTTCAGCAATCTTGTTAGTGTTTTTCTTCAGACAGATGTGGAGCACTCGCTCGAAGAACAGGAGGTCCTCACCGATCTTTTCTCCTAGAAGGGACAATAATCAATAAGCCACAAGTGCTACTTTTTCCGAAGGAGCAATGACCTGTACCAACACCACCACTGGAGAGTCTTCCATGTCCCTGATTACTATTAACACATCAGAAGATCTCCTGGCAGATTTTGAAGTCCAATTTGCTGTGAAGCAACAGTTTCCTTTTATTAGTGCCCAGAATCAGTTCATGAAGGCAAATATTAGCAGTCACCTAATCCTAAAACCACAATAGGCATTTTCACCATTTTTCCTTGTTTTTTCTTTTTTCTCTCCTCTTCTTAAGCGTCACCAGCAGGCTCTGGTTTTTCACAAGCCCTCACAGTTAGCAAACCATGAGCTGCTCTAGGAATTAAGATAGTTGAATTGCACCTTCTTGGCCTCCTGCTCCCTCCTTTACTTTTTCTTTGCTGTCTTCAGTGACCCCTTTCAAATTAGGGGGAAGGCAGTATTGCTCTCTGATGATTATTGTCTTCAACAAAGAGAAGAGAGGCTCAGCATCAAACTAACAGGTTAATTATTGTGTTGATTAGGACCAAGAAAGACCACAAATGCTGCAAGAAATTCTCAGATCTCCAACCCACTGCTCATGGCTGCAGAAAACTGAGTAAGCTCAGCACACACAGAATTTAAGAAAACACTTGAAAACACTTCCCCCGCTTGCCAGAAGCCAATAGAGCCAGTTGGTGGCTCAAAAGGTAATAGTAAGCAGCTCAAGTGGTCCATTATGGGCAAAAGAACTGCCTGAGAAGCACACACCACTCTCATCTGGCCACATGCATATTGCACCTCTATCAAAAGGGACTAAGCCAAAACAAAAGGCCCCTTTTGATTGTTTTTTGTCAAACACACACAGAAAAAAAAAAAAAAAGGAAAAAAAAAGGCAAACAAATTAGTTGGGAAACACCGTTTAGTGTAATTTTTAGAAACATATAAAAATAAAATATAAAAATATTGTACTACCAACTACTACCGTTGCCTGCAGAAAACATCTAAGTTGATAATTTGTTGGCTTTTAAAAAGTGTTTGAAAGACAGCCTCCTGCAAATCACAGTATTTCACTGATTTACAACTATTTTTTCTTGAAGGTCATGGGGGAGGAGCAAGAAAGCATCTGTGCTGTAAGTAGAGAACAGAACCGAAATGACAAAATAAAAGTGCTTCTAAAAAGCCGGCAGACCAGTGAACTGGAGAAACAGTTTTAGCTTCTGTTTAGAAGGAAACTGAAACACCCCATAACAGACTTGGTATGAATCATGCTGTAATGTTTTCTTCTGCCAAACATCAGACAATACATTACTTCCTGAAAAAAAAAAAATAAATACTGTTTAAGGTTGAACTACAAGGAGGGCTTGATTCTTTAAAGACTGAAGTGCCTCCCAACTCACTGCAGTGAGATGACAGTGAACTAATGGTCCCTGGTAAACATCTTCAGAACTACCTCAGTGAGTTTGCCAAGACTCTGTGCCTTGAGACTTTTATACTGACACAGCCATCGAGAGAGTACAGGACACTAATATAAAAGTGATCACCAACCCGAGTTTGTTTTCTCTGCCAGGAATGTCTGTCTAAATGTTTTGGGAAGCTGGTTAGTTAGTTCATGGGAATTGAGTGATAAGAGCACAGTCAGAAGTTTTGATGTTAGTAGCAAGTTACTCCCACCATTCTCAGATGCCAGAGGAAGAAAATATTTACCAGGACTCACATGAGCTGGGTTTGTTTTCTAATATTTTTAAGTCCTCCCAAGAGGCTAGTTAGGAGTGGGGAAATGGCCAACGTTACCACAGAGCTCCTAGAAAGAGTTGAGTCAATCTCTTAACAACTTCTAGGAAAACAACCACCAGCATTCCTATGGGCTTCTGAAACACATCCAGTGCTCCAGGGGAAAACCTACTCACGTTCTACCTGATGCCTCTGTTTTTCATTGATGCCAAGAGCATATGGACCATATCTCCTGAAGCACATAAAGAAAGTTGCTAAGCGTTGATGGGGTACTTGCATTTTGTTCTCACATTTCTACCTGCCTCGGCAGATGGAATAAGCAAGACAATTCTTTCAACTACAGTAGTCAGACAAGCCAGAAGGCAGAAACACCAAACCTATACCTCTTTAAAATCTTTTTTTTTTTTTTTTTGCATTTAACATTTCATTTTATCCTTTCAACTACAATACAGGACTGCAGGTGTCCCTCTTACACAAGGCGGAGCACCAGTTCCTTACCGCACACCTTGTGATGCCTACTGGAAAGGCTGAAGCAAAAAAATCACTAACACCGGACTTGCATCGCAGAGCTTAAACACAAGGGACTTGTCTTCCCCACACTGCGAGTCCACAATCCTGAAAGCTATCTTTTTTTTTTTGGTCGGTTTGTTTTTGGTTTTCCTTTTTTTTTTTTTTTAATATTATCTCTCAATAATATCTCCCTGGACTGCCATACCCTATGCAGAAATACAGTAAATAAACTTCTGCGTCCTTAAGGCGATCGGCGGTGGGGGGGATGTTTCTGGAGCCCGCGGATCGCATTGTCCTTGCACAGGCACCCGCAGGACGCTTATTATATTGACGTTAATCGGTTCTGCGAGACCAGCGGGTCCCGCTACGAGACAAGCAGCAACCTGCCAGCCGGACCCCGCCGGTCGCCGCCCCCCCGAGCCCCGCCGACCCCGCTGCCGCTCCCGCCGGGGCCGCGGGCGGCTCCGCGCGGCCTCCCTCGCTCCCCACCGCGCCTCCCCGGCCCAGCCGCGGCACCGGCCGCCGTGGCCGCCCCGAGCCCTCCGCAGGGCCGGCAGCTCCCGGGCAGCGGCTCCTCGCAGCCGCCGCATCCCCGGCCCCGCGGGCGGAGCGGAGCGGAGCGGGGCGCGGCACGGCCCTCGCTGCCCCTCGCTGCGCTCCCTTCCCCGTCCCCCTTCCCCTCCCTGCCCGCCGCCGCGCACGTCCTCACCGAGCCCGCAGCCGACGAGTCGCCCGCAGCCAGCGGCCGTCGGCCCCGCTGCAGGCGGAAGGAGACCCCGGCGCCGGGGTCGGGCGGCGGGGCGGGAGCTCCGGGGCGGGGCGGGCAGAGGGAGAGGCGGGGCCGGCGCTTCCCACCGCCCCCTCGGCCCCGCTGAGGGAGCGGCACAAAGGCAGCGGGGCAGGGCCGGGCTGGGCGCGTCCTGTGATTGTCTTGTGCCCGTGGGTGCAGCGCTGAGAGCGCCGTCAGACCGTGCTTTCGGTTTCTCAGAGCCCTCCAGACCGAGCTCCTCCTCCCTGCCTCTTTCCCTGCCTCCCTTCCTGCCTTCTCAGGTCTCCAGTGGGATCCCCCAGCTCCCTGCTGCAGGCACGTCACGTTTTTTTAAGAAAAATACCGTTGTTCTTTCACATCCTCCCACGAGTTGAGGCACCAGCTGAGGCTTCAGTTAGAAGAACTGGGGGCTGAACAAGGCCCTGTAGTAAAAGCTGGGTAGATGGAAAAAAATATTTTAAAAAAAACCCATATTCAAGCAGTACAGTACTTAAAGATTATTTCACAAAATTACCGGAAGGCTATTGTAATGAGTGAGTAATGATGAAATAAACAATTTGCTCATCAAATTATATCTTAAATTAATATACTTTATACCAATATAATTAAAGCTTCGCTTAGGCTGAAAAATCATAAGTTGCAGAATAGTTAACCATAAGGCTGACATGACAAATTGTTATGCTTTGCTAAATGGGTATACTATATCCTGTTATTCTAAAAGTGTATTGTCCAGGTGTACTTATAAGGCAAGGAGGACATGGATAAGGAGCAGAGGGTCAAGCACAAGGACAATAAAGAGGAACCAGGACTGCCATCTGGAATGTCCCACATACCAGACCTCAAGGACAGCGGACTAATTAAACTATTGGTGGGAAGTCCCTAGCAAATAGACTGAGCCCGCGAAGGAAGGACCAAACAGAACAGAGCCCGCTAACCTAAGTCCAATGAAGAGATGACAAGTGATTGTGGGAGGGGAAATTAATAAGGGTATAAATGTTGTTGTTTGCTTGTTGCGCTTGTGGACCGTGAGCGGAGCGAAGGTCTCCCCGGCCGCCCAGCATGCTGTTTTGCTTATTTGCACTTTCAATAAGTCTTATAATAAATTTTTACTGCTTTTCAAATTTAAATATTTTGGTTTGATTTAACTACAACAGCTATTATCTGCTTAAAAGATCTAAGTTAAAGTTTTGAACAGGTGACAACACTATACTGAATAGATCTTACCTAAAGTTCGTATCCTGAGTAGCAGTCAGGGCACAAAGCTGATTATATAGCTGTATAGTAAGGGAAGGTAAATTTTATTAAGCTTTATAGCTAAGCTGCGTACTTACACAAGCATCAGGAGGCATGTCTCCAAGCCAACTGGCGTGACTTGTATGATACGGCACTGGCATGTGATGGAGGACATGGCAGCTGCTGAACCCTCTCTGTCTTACAAGTTTCTCTTCATTGCTGACAACAAACTGCCCTTAGATAGGCCTTATGTATATAACCTCCTGGAGGCAAACAGTTGCTCTTTTGCTGCCTCCATGTGAGTCTTAGGAAAGGGTTCTGAGTCATGTTCAGCTTTTGTTTTCACTTTCTAGTTACCTTTTGGCTCCAAGCCAGTTGTCACCCAACCCTAAGGTGACAGGCGAGTTCTTTCCAGGATCCTTGGTAGAGTGAGAACTGGCCACAAGTCTGTAGTTATAATTAGAGCTTTATTATTATGTAAAGATTGTAGCAATCAGTGTAGCTTATCATTGCACAGGTTTTCTAGCAATTGGCATGGCTTTCCTGTTACATAACATTTCTGTTAACTAGATTGGGTCAAAATTTTAATAATCAGTCCAATCATCATAATTTAGACTCTAACTTTTAAATGTACATGAACCACTCTCTCAACCCTTGGAGAAAGAACAATGGAGGCCGATACTCTATCTGACCTGGTTGTCACCAAACAGGACAAAAGAAACTTACCCAACACCAATTTGATGTGAATAAGCAGACATTTCTTTATTCAGCGCACTGAGAACACGGGGGATTGCTCCTCCAAACATGTTCTCTTTAGCAACAAAATCCATTCATTTTTATACTTTTTTTTTTTTTACATAAGCCCTTTCTTAAATTTAACCTTTACAGGGATTGGTGCCATTAGTTATATATCTTTATTCTAAAGCAATCATTGGTCAATTCTACTTAGCTCTACTGATTGGAATCTTTGATACTCAAATAAAGATGGAAAGGGTAAGGGGGTTTCCAAGCAGCATAAATGATCCAGTAACTTCTTGGTGAGGTTTCTATGGATGTATACTTCAAACTCAACACTCCTAACAATCCCATACATTATGCCTCACAATTTCCTATATTTAAATCGCAACTACTTCTTCTATATGATCAAATCTCAATTATTTTATCAGATTATTTGCAACATGGTGAAACAGGATGTTCTGCCTAAGTGGCGGTGAAGCAACTCAGACTTTACCCTATTTGCAAAAGGTGATAGATGAAGAAGAGGGATCATACTGGCTTTGGTGTTGAATGCCAAGCCAGCCTGACTCAACAATCCCAAAGCTAAACATGCTGAGGATGTGAAGAACAGTGATTCCTGGCAGAAACTGGTACAGGTAAGGAAGTGGCATACAAATTTCCTGATAAAGGAACCAACAAGTGAAACTACAGATAACTTATCTAAAGCTGCTGAGCTGACACAGCTGGCCAGGAAACATATGAATGACAGTCAATCACTTTATATTATAAAAGCCCAGCCCCACTGGGTTTTTTGTTTGGGGTTTATGTGTTTGGGTTTTTGGTTTTTTGTGGTTGTTTTTTTTTTTCCCAGGTAGATAACAACCACAGCCTTTTCCTCATCCACTAAGTAGGTCACCTTGTCATAGAATGAGACCAGGACCTGTCTTTCATAAACTCATGCTGGCTAGGCCTGTGCAGAAGCCTGGGCAACAAGGAGTTAACGCGCTGCTATAGCCACCAATAACCACCACTGTGCAAGCTGGAAAAGGATGTGGCTGGAGAGGGGGCCTGTATGGAGGCAGAGCAGCACCTTCCTTGGGCCCACTTCCCTGTTCTGGTCCATGGAGACTGAACAACACAAACCACAGCACAAACACAACACAAACACAAAACACAACTGAACAACACAAAACACAACACAAACACAGCACTCTCTCTTCCTCCCTCCTTTTCCCTGTTTTCTTTAATTCTCTATTTCTCTTACTACGTAGAAGATAAGGGCAAAACTTATACCACTTTCCATGCCAAGTGTATAATTTACTTGTAAAACTTTGTGAGGTTTTTTTGGACCCTCTGACATTTATTGTTCCTTTTCAACCACGGGCACCTGCAAATCTTCCTCTTGGGAATGGGACATGACAGCCTGATCCCCTGGTTGTCCTGTGTGGGCTGTATGATGGCACTCAACATGCTCTGCTCCATAGCCTTCCCTGGCACTGATGTCAGGCTGAGTCCTCCTTCTGACCTTTCACGTAGATGGGCATGACATTTGCTAACTTGGTAATTAATCTAAAGAATATGGGGAAGTACAAGGGGCCAGAGAAACCCTGGGAGGGGAGGAAAGAAGTAAAGGATTAAAAGACTACTCAGAGACTGAGGTAGCACCAGCAACAGAGAAACAACACTGATAGTCCCACCATGTCATAGTATTTTTCTGGACAAAATGTCCAGCACACAGCTAGACAAGTCCATAATACATTGCATGAACAGTTGGGCTCAGAGTTACAGTCAGTGGGGTTACATCAGGCTGGCACCAGTCACCAGTCAGGTCCCACAGGCTCAGTTTTAGGGCCAGTGCTCTTCAATGCCTTTATAAACAATCTGGACACACAAGTCAAACATACATTAAGTTTGCTGCTGGTACTAAATTAGGAGGAGCTGTGGACTCCCCCAAGGGTAGAGAGATCCTAGAGAGAGATCTAGATTGACTGGAGAGCTTTGGCAATCATCAACTGTATGAAATGTAAAAAGAGGAAGTGCTGGATTTACCAGCTGGGACAGGGTTATATGTGTTATATGAGCAAATTGGGGGACTGTAAGGAGCTAAAGAGCACAGTTGCCTGTCTGAAACATGGTTAAGGCCAGAGAAGGAACTTGCCATAAGATAAGACATGCGATAGCCACCACACCAGGAGCTTGAGACAAACACAGAAGGGAGCACAGAAGGGAGCAAAAGGAAGGAGCTAATTCCTGGAAGAAGGAGATCTGGTTAGCACATCCTGGTTAATGCATCCGGACAAAAATTCCCACTGTGGCAAACTGTGAAAGAAGCAACTGCTCATACACATATCACCAGTCAAAGAAAGATGACCCCAAGCTATGGGACAGAGAACATCTGTGACACCAACAACCGCCAAAGCCCCTCGAAATCTTGGAGGAAACATACACAGAAAGAGGACACACCCATCCTCACTTAGCATGCAAGGAAGGCTCTCCCATCCTTGCTTCATATGTAAATTAGGAGTATGCCTCCGTAAGTACTCAGAACTTGGACTGTATACCACCAGAAGAATGACCTGGGACTCCCACCACTGAATAGGCCAGGTTGAGGATAGACAAACAGGACACTGCTGGATTCAGAGGTGATGGATTTTCTGCTTGATCTCTCTCTCTCTCCCCACCCCACTCTATTTCTTTTACTATTTCTATCTCTCTACCTTACGTTTATTTTTAAATAAAATCTGTATTGCTGACTTCGATATATGGTCTCATTCGCACCTTAATTTGGGCGGAGGCATCTCTCACTTATAGGATCGTAACAGGGATGAGAGGCTGAAGAACAGCCCCCTGAAAAGAGATCTGGGGGCTTGGGTCGACAGCAAGTAGAGGATAAGTCGACAGTGCTCCCTGGCAGTCAAAAGGGCCAACCATGTCCTGGACTGTTTGATGGAGGTGGTTGTCCTGCTCTACTCTGCCCTACACTGGTGCAGCCTCACCTCTGTAGGGGGAGTTTTGTGTGTGATTTTGGGCACCTCAATATCAAAATGACATCAAACTATTAGAGAGTGACCAGAAAAGAATGACCAAGATGGTGAACAACCTCAAGTGCAACACTTATGAAGAGTGGCAGAGGTCACTTGGTTTGCTCAGTTTGGA